ACCTAAGTCACAAAAAGTCTTAACTAACAGGTAGGGTATTGAAGATAGGATATGAGACTTGAGACTAGGTCTCAAAAGAGGGGTCTGGAAGGCATACTGACAATTTGTTTCAATTACTGAGTTTAAAAGTCTTCCCTGGCAGGTGCGGAGACTGGAAGGAGGCAATTGTATCATCTTAAGAAGGAAGGGTGACTGATGTTATGATAACTTTTATTTTATTTTTTATTATCTTTACTCACATTATTGTACTTCAGTTGGTTAGCTTTGTGTTGTTTAGTTTCAGCTGGTAACTCTTCACTTCAGGCTTTTATTCCAATCCTTTTTTTTATCTACTATTTTTATGTCTCGGCAGCACATTCATTCCCTCTTGTTCATGAACTACTTCCATTTTGCTCTTTTTCCTATTCCTTCCTTATTTTACCACTCGACTATTAATATCCTTAATAATATTTTTTATCAAATTTGCACCCTTTTTGTGCTATCTCTGAATCTTTCTGGGGAGATAAACAAAGAAAGTACATAAGTGTTTTCTAGTGCAAGTTAGCACAAATTATACTTGCTATTATAGTAAGCTTTTTTTCTAAATAGAAGCAGGGAATAACCATGTAATCAAAGACAGCTCACCAGGGGCACATACATAATAAAACCAAGTGGGTAAAAAGAAAAAAAATAAACACGAGAACACATTAAACCTAACAAATATATAATCATCGCAAAGAATGACAAAAGCCATGACTATGCCATAAGCTTACAAATTGCCAACTAAGGAAATAAAAGGCCCATATATGAATACACTAAGATGTGGAAAAACAAAATAGAAGACAACACTGAAATATTCAAGGACTTTCTGTGTTGATGGAATGGCCGACTTAATACTGTAGGGACAGCCATATCACTAAAAAGTCATCTACAATTTCAAAACAGTCCTAATCAAAATTGTAGTGATCTTTTTCAAAAAAATCATAATCCTAAATTTCATATGGGAAGACAATATACCATTAATAACCAAAGCAGTAGAACCTAAGCAAAAAACAATGATAGATAAATGTCAATACTTGATCTCAAAGTACAGAATCATAGTGACAAAGATAGCAGAGAAGCAGAAAATGTAAGCAAATAAAATAAAAAAGAGCACAAAAATAAATCCACTCAACTACCACTAAATTTTGATGAAAATGTTAAGAATTTACAATGAAAAGTGGACATCTTCTATAATAAGTGGTGGTATATTGGTAAGGAAACTGTAAATCCACATGTGAAATTAAATTGTTTCATACACTGTAAAAAATAAGTTCAAAATCAGTTAAAGATCTTAATTTCAAACCTAAAACACTGAAGGTACTATGGGAAAAATATAGGTGAATAATTTCAAGATCTACACTTAGACAGACTTTTTTTTTATAAGGGACTCTAACAGCAAAGGAAATAATCCCAATAACTGACAAATGTTAGTATGTAAAGTTTAAAATTCCCTACAACGAGCAATGAATCCAGACACACTACAGAATGGAAGGGAACACAATGTTTGGCAAGAGGTTATAACTACAATACATAAAGAAATGAAAAAAAAATCAAACACACAAAATTCTTATCTTCCAATCAATACATGACATATTCAACTAAAGCTCTCAGAAGACAAAACACAAATGGACAATAATTTTTTAAAGTGTTCAACATCCTTAGCTTTCAGAAAAATCCAATTTAAAACTATTTTACCTGGTCAGAATGGCTATCAATAAAATAACAAATGAGACTGGGCATAGTAGTGGTTCATGCCTTTAATTCCAGAACTTGAGAGTCAGAGACAGGTGGATCTCTTTGAGCTTGAGGTCAGCCTTGTCTACATAGTGAGTCCCAGGATAGCCAGGGCTACAGTGTAAGACCCTGTCTTAAAAAAACAAACAAACAAAAATCCCAAAACAATCAAATTAAACAAATGCTAGGCAATGGTGGCACACCTCTTTAATCCCAGCACTCAGGAGGCAGAGGCAGGTGATGTATATGAGTTCCAGGCCTGCCTGGTTTACAGAGCTAGTTCCTGGACAACTAGGGCTGTTACACAGAGAAACACTGTCTCTACAAACCAAACAACAACAAAAAAACCCAACCTACCAAACAAACAAAAGACTGACTGAGGAAATAAAATCTCATGTAGCCACCATGGAAATTAGTATGGAGATGTCTCAATCTGAAAAGAGAACTACCAAATGACCCACTTATTCTACCTCCTGAACGTATATCCAAAGGTCTCAGCCTCAATGTAATATGCTTGACATTTATGTTTTATTGATAGACTATTTGTAACATAAAAAATAGAACTAGCCTAGACTAGCATCAATAAATGAGTAAAAATGTGATGCATATGACATTTTATTAAGTCTTAAGTAAACATGAAATTATGACATCTATTGGAAACATTTTTATGTAAAACATTTTGTTAAGCAAAATATCCCTGACTCAAAACAAACAAAACAACAACCAACCAAATATTATGAGTTTTCTCTCATATGCATATCCTAGACTTGATATGCGTTTGTGGGTCATGAATTAGAGTAGGATGATAATAGGGGAAGAAATCTTGGAACAGTGGAGGGAGAGCAAAAAAAATTCAAAAGAATATAATGGAACATTTTGACACAAATGCAGAAAGAAGCCATTGGGGGGGATGAGCGAGACAGGGACAAGGATGATTAAAAAGTCTGAATTAAAAGGTCAGGATTAAACCCATTACTTGGTATGACAGTTCAAAAAATAACGAAAGCACTAATTAAATTTCCAGGAGCGGTGTTGCATGCCTTAGAACTCAAGAGGCAGCAGCAGGTGGATCTCCCTGAGTTCAATGCCAGACTGGGCTACTTAGCAAAACACTAATCAGCAAATCCTCAGACACTGCTGAAGCCTTACTTTCACCAGAATAAGGAAGTATGTGTGTGTCTCTATTTATATTTGTTTATAAATTTAAACATATATTTGTATACTTGTCAGCTGGTACTCACATACATTTAGCAGCTTTAGCAATTAGCTATAATATAAATACATTATGCTTGGAATACACAATGTGTAAAGGAGTTTGTGTGCTAAGGAGGAGGCACTGTGAAGAGTACGTGCTGTGGCACAGGCACAAGGATTTGAGGTTGGATCCTCAGTACCCACATAAATGTCAGGTGTGCATGTGTGATCCCAGTGCAAGGTTGTCAGAAGCAGGCTGACCCCTAGTCAGTCACTGTAGCTAACTGATGATCTTCATGTTCAGTGAGGGAATCTGTCTAATAGTTAAGATAGTTAAGATGGAGAGTAGCTGAAGAAAACACCCAGAGTCAACCTCTGTTTTCTACATGCATGCTCACACATGTGTCTGCCCATTTGTGTGTACATTTGCATACCACCCACACATACGCATGAATAAATAAAATTTAGTTTGCTATACATAATAATGGAGTTTGTTGCCAAGGATGCAATGAACCACACATGTATATACATGTGCATGTGTGTGTTAGTATGGCAGAATAGTATTTTATATTCCATATCAATAATATTATATGTATCAGTTATCAAAATTAGGAAAAACTCTACAATTTTTATGAAGAAAAACTTAAAATTTTTGTTATTTTAGAAATTATTATCTGGGTCTCTTCACTTCTGGTTTCACTGGAGCAATCCCTTAGGTAGACATGGTTTATGTGTCCACAGACAGTGATGATGTTATCTGAACATGAACTGATTCTCTCAGGAGCATTTAGAAAGTGATCAGTTTCTTGTCCTTGGCAAATTCTCAGACATATATTCAGATTCTTCATCAAAAGTAGAAATGTTATGTAAAGAGGGTCCTGAAGGCCACAGTGAACTCCTGGCTGGACCTGGCTTCCAGAGTGGACAGGGCATAGACACGCGGCTCTGAGCGGAAGTGCTCACAGCTAGCACCCCGCTCTACCTTGCACCTTTATACTTACAACCAAACCTGAATTTTGCTGACGTCTATTCGTATCTTTTTGAATCACATTCCAGTCACCATAGAAACAACGGTACAATACTCCTCATCATCTACTATTATAAGATCAAATTTTACAATTGTGTGCTGAGTTTTTACCATTTTCTCAAAGTAACTAGTACCAGCAATATTGCTCAGGCTTTTTTTTTATCAATTCTTAAATTTATTGATTTATTTATTTTAAGAGAAAAATATTAACCCCATAGTGCCTACAGTATTTGTAAGAACTATAGCCATAATTTCAATAGAAGCAGTTGAAGAATTATCTTATTTAGATCATAATTAAACACTTACCTGTTTAGCACAATTCAGTACCTAAGATCCTCACAAATTCTATTACTAGATAATTATGCAACCTACTGTAACAACTTCATACATGCAAAAGTAGCATTTCAGTGATCAGATATTCACATTTAAGCAAAGGCATTCTTTCAATAGATGGATGATTTGGGCCACAGGCATTCAATTATTTAAAAAGAAATGAACTATGGAAACTAAAGAGCTTAGTAACCAAATCAGCAGTTACTTCCATCTCCGCCTCACTTTCTGTGCACTCAGATGGCTTTTAACCTTTACAGTTGTTGATTCTCCAGCCTTAAACACAATCATAATCAGGATGTGTCCATAAGGGCAACCATTTTTTAATACCTAAATAATAACCAGACAAATGGCAATTTTCATTTAAGTTGGAGGGCAATTAGGCTATATTTTACATTTTATATTGCACTAATCCAATGCCAAGAAACACCTCTTTTGCCGGGCGTTGGTGGCGTACGCCTTTAATCCCAGCACTCGGGAGGCAGAGACAGGCGGATCACTGTGAGTTTGAGACCAGCCTGGTCTACCGAGTGAGTTCCAGGACAGGCTCCAAAACAATACAGAGAAACCCTGTCTCGAAAAACCAAAAAAAAAAAAAAAAAAAAAGAGAATCACCTCTTTTATTCATATGGAAGCGCTGTCATCCTCTCCTTTATAACCCATAGAGAAACCAAAGGAAAGGGAATTTACTCACACTGCACAATGAGCTGGACCAAGGCTTCTCTTGGCTTCACGTTGAATCCATTGTACTGGCTGGTTTGACACCGGTACATCCCTGACATTTCTCTTGACACATTCACAATCCTCAGTGTCCCATCGTAACTCTCCATTTGCATTGTCCCATCAGGCATTGCGACTTCTTTATCTGCTCTAGACCAAAGGATGATGGGTTTAGGTTTCCCAGTTACTTGACACTGAAGTTCTATTGTGTCTCCTTCTCTGGTGACCAAAGGTGATTTTTCCTGTGGAACAGTCAGATTGGGTGGAACTTGAAATGGGAAAAAGAAAATTTTTCAAGGTTAGTATAAACTGGTAAGACATATTCAGTCACAGAACATCATAAGGAAACAACTTCTGCTGGTTGAAGTAATTTGACAATGCAGATGACATAAAATTTAGGAACCACAGAAATAAGGGGAAAGTGCTGTCACTTAAAATAACCCTACATCTTTTCTTGTATATTCTCAAATGAAGACTACATACATTCTCAAATAGGAAAAATATTACATTTGAAGGCAAGTGGTCCAAACAAGAAAACTCTACTCAACACCTTGTCTTATTAGCCATTAACTGGGCCCTCAGTCTTTGCTTTAAAAGCAAATTCATGCAACTGCTGCCATCATATAAATACAACTCTCTAACATCTAAGTCACTACCAGTCATACTAAAAACTGCCAATAAGAATAATAGCAATGAGGTAGAAATATTTCATACAGCTTTAAAATTATTTCGTTTTACTCATATGAGTATGTGACTACAACACATGTGGAAGGGTTGGAAAAAGAAACCAAGATACAAAATTGGAAGTTTAAAAAATGGTGCTAAGATTTATGTTCTATTTTTTCTCTGGTCGAATTTAGCAGAGCAGCTGACTAATATCATACTCAGACATTTCATTATATACTCCAATTTTTATTTCTTAGAAATTTAAATTTCATTAGATTTCAATTTATCATATTTTACAGTACCATTGACTCTTGGCAAGACATTTCTACTATTTCTATAAATTGATTATTAAGAAAATTAATCATAGCATCTTTCAACATATATATATGTATATATGCATATATGCAGTATAAATTCCTCAAGTAAACTTAAGTTTTTATTTTACTGAGCACACTTAGTATGACATTTGAATGACTTTGTAGGAGGTTAGTTTAACGGGGCTGGAATATACTCATGTTAGATTTTAATGGAACACATGGAGTACTGAGGAAACATCATGGTTTTTCTTATAATATCTGAAAAACTATTCCCTATTCCATTAGACTATTTGCATTAATAATGAAATTGTATTTGAATTAAATTAAATGGGTCTACATAGCAATCAAAGTGTCTGTTCACAAAGATGAGCTAAATGGGGATGTTAGAGATGGAATGAATGGGAACCTAGCTGATTCTAGGTTTCCGATTAATGCTGCACCTTTTGAAGGTGCTGCAGCATTTGGGTTAATATGGAAGGTTTATCTTCCTATTAGAGATTACTAGCCTTACATTACTCCTGCTTTAAATTATTTTTCAACTAATGTTGACATGTACACTATTTTATTGCATTTAGAGTCATTAATTCAATTCAAAGAGATACCAGAATTACTTTGGAAGTCAAATGTCTTAACTTATATATTCTTATTTTAATTTCTCCATTTATTCTAAGTTATGAAGAATGAGTTACATAACATATATGATAGCATATCACAAGTCAGATAATACAAACAGTAATCACCATCCTCTTCAAGTAAATATATACATTAGAGGAACTTGTGTGGACACATTCAGATTAAAAAAGCAACTACTAAATGATTTGCTCAAATAATTTATTTTGGAGATATTATTAGTAGTTTAGTTAAATAATTTGCTTTTTGTGAAGCAAACTACAAAAATATCATGCAATTTTAACCAGCGTATTTAACAAAATAAATGGAACTGTAATATCTGTTTAGCTTTCTTGAGAGTAAATGAGACAGAATAACAAAATCGATCTTGGCATTTAGCATGTATCATGCATCTCCTATGTATGTGCTAAGCACACTGGCAGATTTTACATTTGTATTCAATTCTTTTAATTATCCTACATAGCAAGTATCAAAGTTTATCCAAGGAGGAACACTAAATTTCAACATGGCAAATTTATTTGATCAGAAATAAAACAGTTTAAAAAACTGTAATGGACTGCTGTTGCTTTAAATATTCACCCCAGAAAACTCCCTAAAGCCACCATGTAGGTACATGGAACAAATCTGCATAGTAATTTCTAAAGTTTGAAACTAAGTATTTGACTGCTTAGCATGAGCCCTGAGGTTACTCATCCTATGACAGAAACAGAGTAGAAAGTGACAGAGAACAGAGCCAAAGGCAAATATTTGTATCTTGATTTAATATGATGAATATTTAAATATCTTAAAACATTAGGCCATATAATTAAATGCTTGACTACCTAATATTATCCTAAAATTTACTATTATGGAAAGCATAAAGATTGTCTTTGTACATTTGTTATTCATTGACTTAAAATCTCTAAACTTGGCTTATTAAAGTCAGTAAAATAGAACTCAGTTTTTTATCTTGACAGCTTAAAATAGGTCTTTTTATGAATTACTTCAAGTTTTTCTAAGCAACAAAAATGGATTAAGTAACATTTTGCAATACTTTTCTTCTGTGAGATGTTTTGTTTCCTTTAGTTTGGTGAAAAGTTCTCACGACTTTATGCCATGCTGCCCTGAAACCTGGTTCATAGCCTACCCTGACTGCCGCTGAACTCATGATCCTTAGGCCTCAGGCTTCCAAGTGCTGGTCTTACACGAGTGCAAACTCCACAGGCTTAAGGACTTTGAATCTTTGTTAACATCTCTCTTGACCAAAAATACCTTACAATTTCCCTAAACTTTTATAATCTTCCCTCGTTCTGCTTTTACTAAAATTTCTATATCCTAAAATCAGACACTAAACTCTCTGAGTTATTACTACAGGTTTTTCCCATGGGAGATCGTGTTTGTTCCTCGTGACTTTTCTCTGCTTTATACGATAACAGTAGGTATTCTAATCTTCCATCTTCTAGTCTACAAAGCAATCTATTTTTATATTCCAGGAATCTCCAAACCCAAATACCAGTCATTACTTAAATTAATAGTTAATGACCAACACATGCAATTTGATCATTAAAATGGTAATTTTCATAGTTTCCTTGTGTCCTGTTGCCTGTCACTTCTAAGCACAATCTAAGCCCCATGTGTATGTTTATGTATGTGTGTGTATAATATATATTGCATACATATTAAAAGACTGTCTATTTTTTTAAATTTAGAGTCACTGGCAGATGTCTCAGGAAAGTCATCATTTTACTTTCTTGTGATAGTATGCTATATAGTCTCTCTGTCATGAGGGTTTTACGTCCCCCAATTCTCCTGCTGCCCTATCATTAGCTTTTTCATCATAGACACGATTTTGTTCAGGTTACTACGATGCCCCAAACCTCAATGAGACTGCTCATCAGAGCACTGAAAACAACATGATGGATTTGTTCAGTCATGGAACAGTCATGGCCCAATAAGATAAAGGCTTTTAAATGATGATGACATTTTCCTACAAATATGGATAAAATATTAATATTGAAAAGGAACAACATGTTAGCAAGTAGTGTGAATGACTACAACCACTATTGTTAAGTGGAGCGTGTTGCTATTTTATTCTCCTACCTCCTCAATTACTATATGAGAAGACAGCTCATAGTTTGCTTCACAAGAGTAACTCTTTTATTATCCCTGTGTATCTTGTAACAGCATATTCTACATGTCAAAATAGAAATAAGAGCTTCCTGAATGAATATACATACTTTGTTGCTATATTACCAGCATCCAGGAGATAGTCTAATATATAATATACATTCAGTAAAATGTCTTATACCTAACAAATCAATTGTGACAATGAGATAGTGATTCAGGGAGGAAACAGAGATAGAAATAGGGAAAATATAGGAGAAAAACAAATTTCTGCAGGGGCTACAGCTTCACAAGAGCAGTGGTTTTCTTTAAACACACTACTATTGTCATCTTGTATTTTGCTTCAGTTTTTACTCTTCCCCACTATCTGTGAAACATTAGCATATCCAAGGTTTCATGGAAATGTGAAATATTAAAGCACTCCATATTCAACATTCACTCAAAGAAAAGTTTTATGGTATACACGAATCACTCCAGAAATGGTGTTTTTAATGACATAGTAACATTCATGTTCTACAGGTTTCACTGATCAGCTAACCATATTGTCCTTGAACAATCAGTTATTCCTCATTTATTTCCCCCTGTTTAGACATATTGGGTCCATGGGGTCTTCTGGCACTCCTGCACACCCTACGTGTTAAAACTCAGTTCAAACATTATTACTTTTTTCTTGATTTATATCTACAGAAAATGCCTGTGTGTGCATGTTTTCATGTATGTGGGTTCACATTACTGTGAGAGTGCATATGCATGCTCACCTGTGTGTGTGTGTTGTGCTGTGTGTGTGTTTTGTGTGTGTGTGTGTGTGTTGTGTGTGTGTGTGTGTGTGTGTGTGTGTAAGCCTGGGGCTGAAAGAAGGTATCTTCCTCAATCTTTCCCTAGCCTTTGTATTAAGGCAGAATCTTTTACTCGAACTCAGAGCTGTCATTACACACACCTTGCATTGTAGGTACTGGGGACTTGAACTCTGTTACCCATACTTGTATACCAGCACTTTAATTACTGAGTAATCTCCTCTGCCTCAGATGTTACTACTTTCAACTTCTGTTGAGAACTTGCCCTTTTCTAGGGCCTGGAAATGCATTCTGCCTGGCTATGGGAAACAGGTGCCATTTGCACCTATCCCCATTCTTGGAATTCTGCTGAACATTTTCCCCATGTTTGGGGGACAAGAAATCAGTCCTCTGTAGGCAGTGTCTTTGATATTTCTATTGATAAACCATGCTGCTTATCCTAACAACACACGATATAACCGAGAATGGAAGAAAGGTGAAGCAGTGGAGAGGAATATGGCAGAGAGCTACAAATCTGGAACTAAGTCAGATAATAGAAACAAATGGACGTGATTCATGAGCATCTTTAAAAAAACAAAAGATAGCTAAATGAACCAAATCTGTAATTACTAACTCAAATAAGTAGAGCTTTGTGAAAACCAAAGAAAGCTTGTGTAGATTCATGATGCAGATCTTGCCATTTGGAGGCTTTTCAAAGTTGAGAGTTTAAAAAAAAGACCTGGCATATTTCTCTGCCATCTTTCCTCTAAAAATATGAA